GTAATAAAGATATAAATATCGTGAGACGAGCGGGAAGCAGTAGACAGACAACAATAGACAGATAATAGCAAAAAAGAATATAGTTGTGTGAAGTTTAGTACCGCAAAGGTGATAGGTCTAACGTTTAATATGTTAGAATGAAACTAGCAGTGTTAAGTTAACTACTGTAGAAGTGATAGGCCTAATGTTTAATATGTTTGAGTAAAACTAACAGTGGAAGAGGAGAGAATAATAATAATTTTATTCCGTCAAAGCATGGTTCTAAAGTAATTGAATCAGCCTGGGTACATTTTGACAAAAGGAACAGAGGATCTTCAGAAGAAAGAAGACCGAATGAATTATGGTAACTTGCGCCATAACTATAAGTGAATCACACATAGAATACTGGTACGATAGTAATATAGAGAGGATAGTTCGACTTGTCAACTGAAATTCTAAAGTAACTGAATAGACCTAAGTGGACTTTTGACAAGAAGAAGAGAACTATATATAAATAGTGTTTATGATATGCCTGTAATTTCTATAGTGTGAATACTTTGTTGTACATATATTTAACTTGTTCTGAATATATATATATTATTTGAAAACAAGTAAAGTGTGTGCTGTTTATTCATTATTGAATTTATCACTAACAAGTCACATACACCTACTGTATTAGAATCCTAAGCCAAACAACAACATAGTATATATTTATACTATGTAGGAATATAAGTAAAAGCCATTTATTTCGAAAATTAGCAAAAATAACTTAAAATCTGACAGTGATAAAAGAAACATGAGGCTAGTGGTAAAACAAAGGAAGGGAAAGGCCATGGAAAACAACACTTAAATTCCAATCTGGCAAATGGGTGGTATGAGGAAGATGATGGAGATTCAGAGACTGAAACAAAAGGGAAATAACTGGAGAGGAAAACACATTGCAAAAACGAAAGTCAGATGATAGTGTTGCCCTATAGCTTACAATGGTTGAAATGGACAGAACCTTGCCAAACAACCATGTAAAAAATCAGATATTTAAGAAAGCGAGGGGAAAAATCCATGCCAAATAGACCAATGACAGAATATTCTCTCCTTACTTTGATACACAGACGTGGAATAAGGAATGGTCAGAGTGAGACAACAGAGGGAAAGTGAAGATGAAGACAATCTGGACAAGGTGGTGGTTAGGAGGATATAGGCTTCCCCCAAAAACCCTTGGGAGAACAATGGAAAGCCTCAAACAACAGGTGAATAGACGACAAATAATAAGGAGTGTTGTCACGTATAAATGGAGGTGTGTCTGAGAAAAAAGCACCAAAGTATCGGAATTTGAACCCCAAAGGGGAAGAAGTGAATCCAATTGCACAGTATGTGAGAGCATGTCATATTAACTCCTGCACATACTACATCTGCAAAACATTTGGCATGGACCCCCAATATGAGGCAAGGGGGGAACCAAATATTCATAACTAGGCTTCAGTTAATAAGGAAGGGGAAGGATCAAATGACACAGGTGACAATGACAAAACACAACATACTTGTGATATCAAGTTGGAAAATGGTGATGAAGGGCTATAGGTGCTTCAACAGGCTGAGAACATGCTTGCACAGCAAAGAAAGGGGGAAAGCTGTTGTCAGGTTTTTATAGGGCTGGATTCATTATAGTAGATGCCTGTGACTCGTTGGTGATAAATTTCAATAATAAATGGACAGGACACAATCCACTTGTTTTAAAATAATAAATTCAAAACAAGTCAAATGTAGGTACAAAAATTTGTTACACTATTGGTTATTACAGATATATCCAGAGCTTTAAATAGTTGTCCCCTTTTCATCAAAGTCCACACAGGTGGGTTCAATTATTTTAGAACACCCTTTGGAAAGACAAATTGTTCTCCTTTATCTCTGTTATTACAACACCAGCTGTGAAACTCACTTTATGGCTATTTCACATTCAGTCTAACTTCACTTTTACCTTCACTTTCACTAACTTCCTTCTTACTGTACCTGCACACACATATATATCTAATATGCAACAGAAATATCTAGAGATATATAACCCTCTGGTAACAACAATATTACACATAATGAGAAAAACTTAGAAGCTTCGAATATGATGATGTCAACAATATTACAAAAGTGCAGTACAAAATTAAACTACATACATAAGGTACAACTCGTACAGAGTTATGTAACAAAACTTGTCATAACAGTCATTTCTAAAAATAAATGACTTTAATGCTCATACAATATAAACTAAGTAATACTCTCATATTAAAAATAAAATGAACAATCGTGTATATCTAACAGTTGTCTAAGTCTGCATTGTCCTGATTGAAATCTTCCGGTAATGACAGAACAGCTTGTATATCATGAGATCCCTTGGCCCGCAGGAAAGAAGCCATCTCCTGACAAACCATGGTTAACACTTTGTCCACAAATAATGCTGCACCTGCATCTATTGTCATGGATAGTTGATCACTAGTACTGTCGGTAGCCACTGTAGCCATGATACTAAATTGTAAATTTATAAATATTGACTGACTACTGGTAAATGAGTGAGGAATCAAATAATGAAATTTAACTCGGTTCTGGGTTATAAACAAGACTTTGAAATGCAAAATCAGTCAGTGAATACTATCAAAATACAATAAAGAAGAAAAATGTTTGAAATAAGCACTAAGTCATAACACTGAGATTGGTTTTAACTTCATAGGGGGAGGCAGCTGCAATAGAAAAGTTTGCAAACTCCTATTGGTGGAAGACTGTCACATGCTAATTTGTGTGCTTAAATACAGCTGAACCACGTGGTATACATGTGGAATTAGGCGAGAGTTTTAAGGCAAGTGGTGAGAGAAAAATTTGCACATTAGATTGCATTGAAATCAAGAATAGATGTAACTGTGAGAGAAGGTAAGTAACTGTATCGAAGTTACTTCTAGACTGCTGTTATTTTAAGAACTTAACCTCAACAAACACATTATTTTATATTACAACAAATGATTTAAAACTGTAATGGCTGATTGGCACAACTTAAAAATCCTGTGAAAACTTGGAGCAGGAAGACCAAATAGCTTAAAGATCAAGTATAGTGAAAGGTACTCCTCATCCCTAAAGTGCGTTAATTGACTAAATGCAATTCACAGAATCTCATTTCATATAAGTTTGTCAGGTTTTGTTAAAGACAGTCTGTTAGCTGGTAATTTCTATTTATTTTTAGCTATGATTGTGATTATTGTTTATGTATTTTATTTTCTATCATTTACGCCAGCTATATTTTCATTTATTTCAAATGCTAGCTTACATGCCTTTTTAAATAATAAATGAAGAATTTTCATATTAAGACACCAACACAATGTTTACCAGTTGTAAGATATGGATACTATTGTTACAACAGCAGAAGTCACGTGACGCTGGGAGCATTCGTACTGGAGTTTCGAAAATTATCGGGGAACCCCACGAATGTCCGAGTGTTTGCTAGATGCCCTCTTTTTTAGTATATAAGCCTGGCAAAAAAAGCCAGCGAGATAGGCAGATAGATAATTGAGTCAAGCAAACAGTAGGCACCATAAGTAAAGTGTGTGAATCACTGGGATTTATAGCTGTGTTATAAAGGTTGTTAAGTTTAACGTAGTGACTGGAAATTCTGTGTATTACAAAGTTGTATCGAGGAAAAATAAACTGGTTTAATCAAGAAA